GCCTCCTCTCTCTTCTTCATTTGTTTGCTTTCCCTTGCATCTGTCCGTACACTGCATCGTCTCGCTACGTTCCCCACCCATTGCAGCCGTTGCTGCTGTTTTTTTTTTTTAATAAGGAAAAAGAAATGTATAAACAATACCAGAAAAACACAAACAAATTCATATCAGAGTGTTTATAAACAAAAAGGAGAAAGATGAATGCTATACACAAAAGAAACAGAAAGGGGCAGCGTGCATACACCCCAGATATAACAGAAAAGAAACCTCAATAATATAAGATAATAATAAACCTTGAAACAATAAAAATATAATTTAATTTAAATTTATAAAAATAATATTTTTTATATTTCAAACAAAAAAAAAGAATGGGGGCCTCTTCTTATGCTCGAGCGCCCAGCGCGTTGCCAGCAAGGAGGAGCTGAGGGGAGATACATCTTTCTGTATTGTTTTTTTCTTTTTGTTTTTTTATTTTTTTATTTTTTTGTTTGCTTTTTTAGTTAATATATATCTTTTTTGTATGCAGAACTGTAGAGAGAAGAATATAAAAAAAATAAAAACCATACATCTCCCTCTCTGCTCTCATCCTGTACTCGATCCGTCTCAATCGTGAACAGGGTCCCTACCCCCCCCCGTTCGCGGTTCTCTGCGATCCATATAAATTTATAAATAAAAAAATAAATAAATATAAATATACGTGAAAATAAATAAATATAAATATACGTGTAAATATAAATACATGCATCAATGGGAGAAATCGGAGCTAAAAAGGGGGCGTGAGCTGCGTGGGTGGAGGACTCGTGGTGTGCAAGGTCACATCGCCGCCACCGGGCTCTCAGCCGCCAGAAAGCAGAATAAAACCAAAAAAATAAAATTAAATAATAAACTATTTTACTCTAAAAAGTACAAATAAATATAATTAATTAAATAATTCAATCTAACTTTGTTTCACAAGGAGAAAACCAGAATACTGATCGTGCGGCTGCACGAGCAGCTCCACCGACACCAAGTTACAGACAAATAGAAAACAAAGTAAATATTATTGCATTTGCGGAGAAATTTATTAAAATTATTTATTAAAAAATAAATATAAAAAATAAAAAACCAACGAAGGACGCCAGTGTGCTCGCCGCACCGCTGCACAGAGCATAGCTGGGGTGTATAGGCAGCTCAAAATATTCAAGTTGCTTGATGCGGGATACTTGTTGCTGGTATTTTCAGAATAAATAAAAAAAATAAACAGAAAAAGGCTCATATTTATATATATATTTGCATATTTCCACCAAATACAGAATAAAAATATAGTATACTGTAGAGATATTCTTCCTTTATATATAAACAGATCTCTGCGTCGGTAGCGCCTGCCGCATCAAAACAAGA